ATGAAATGAGTGAGTCACATTTCAAAGGAGACGAGAGGAACGAGAAAGAGAGGCAAGGAGTGTGTGTGTGTGTGTGTGTGTGTGTGTGTGTGTGTGAGAGAGATAGATAGAGGAGGTTGTGTTTTACAGCAGACAGAGCTGTGAGGCAATGGAACCATCCATTGATAAGAGACTCTCATATTCAGCTCATCAGAGGAAGTTCATGAGAAGTGAAGGTCTCCGAGGTTAGACAGTACAACAGTAGGCGTATTCACAAACCTGTTTGCTGCCAACACAGAATCTCTTTCCTCCCCTCCTGTGCCCTCTTCCCTTCTTTCCTCTTACCTTTGATCGCTCTCACTTACTCTCTCCTCTTTCCTATCTGGAAATGTGAGCTACATATTATTCATGTTATTGATATCTTGGCTGTAGAAAAATGTTTCCCCTAATCAAAAGAGCTTTGGAAACGCATCTCCTGGACCAGAACACTTGAAGGTCAGATTGTTTTCTGGCTGCAGATTCAGAAGCTTAGAGCGAGACTGTAAGGCAGAGGATCGGATGATAGAGAGAGGAGAGGACAAACTTTTAACAAACAATTCAGATGTATGTGTGGACTGAGGATTACTGCCCTTGGTGTTTCTTTTTCAACACCTCATCATTTCAAATGGTTGGCCTTCAAGTGGCTCCAGGTTTTAAACTTGGATCGATTTGTTGTATACGTTTTAAAACCCTGAAAGTTTTCTCTTACAAATAAAGTCACGACACTCATCGGTCATTGCACACTGCTACCTTGGCATTATCTAACTTTTCTACTTTAAAAACAATTATTGTGATTTAAAGGAAGACTTAATGACACACACACACTTCTACACATACTGGCTTTACATGAACAGAAATAATCACTCCAACAAAGACAGGTTACAGATCCAAACAAGGGTTTCTTTAATGATCATTTGTCTTGTAAAGAATATAATACAATGACAGGACTGGAATTCATAAAGAACATACATCAATAAATATGGATAAATACTTGTGGACCACCTTCACACAGCCGTAGACGGGCTCAGTTGCTGTTATATTTGTCTGGGATCACAGTCGACATGAACACACAGGAAGCTGCAGAATGTTTTGCGGGGAAAAGAGCCAAAGAAGTGAAATGTCTCTGCTGCGTGAAGCATCATCTCACTTCTGGATATCCCGCAGTGTGTATTGAATGTCTTTGTTTTGTCTTACTGATGCAGCGGTTAAAAACAGCAGGGTGTGTGAGCAAAAGGGAGAAACTAGAGGAGGGAGATGCCTCTTTTTGGATCCACTGAGGCTGTATGAATATGGTCCACAGAGGCTATACGCAAAGAACACACCCAGAGTCTAAATGGATTTTCTAAAAAAGGAAAACCTCAGAGTATTTACATCACAGAGGAGAAGGAGTGGGTCATTGATTTCTGCTCTGCGTTTGTCGCTTTCATTTCTCATTCTCTCACTGAAACATCTTCCCATTCATCTATCCCAGCAGAATGCAGACGGTTTCTCCTCAATGATAAATCGTCTCAGCTCAATTTCAGACAGAGACGAAACAGCACTAGTACCTGTGCTTTAGATGCTGAACAGTGAAGAGGCGATGTCAACAGGTTGAAAATAATTTTGTTTAGTCTGATGGGATGAGGATAATGATGCAAATTAAGCAAAGGCAGCATTAGCAGTCCAGCGGTCAGTCGCCGCTATTGTGCCGTCAAAGCCATCGACAGACTTAATAGAAAGCCAAGACAGACAGCGTAATCATGAAATCAATAGTCTGTCTGTGTGCGACTGAGGACAGCAGCGCTCACCGCTCTTATCAGGTTGTCATTGGCGATGAGGAGCATTTGAATGCATCAGGTGTACAGTCACTGACAGTTGTTACAGTTCACGTGGGCAACAGAGATTCTCAGTTTGATTTAACACTGTTTGCACAAAGGCCCGCACACATACACACAGAAATGTTCCTGTGTCACTTATTTCTCTTGATGATAAAGATGACACAATGTAAGGAATGGGGTTTCTTTGTTCACTCAGACTTCAGATGCATTCGTTAGCATGTTCAGCTAACTAGCTTAGTACAAACAGTTGTAACCAGATGTTACTTCAAACTGAGGGTTAGAGATTTTGCTAAAATAAGAACTAAAGAAGAAGAAAACCCTGTTCCTGACCATATCCACCATTGATTTTGGATGCTTTCTCTCTATTCCTCTTTCCTACAATTTTGCATCCCAGCTACCTTAGTTTTACATTTGCCAAACACAAAACCATTTATCTTAAACTGAAACAATTTTTAAAAATGCCAATGGTAGAACAAGAAATCGATCTTTTTGTTTGTCAGACAAAGAGTGTGGTGTTATAATTACAGCTAAGAGCTAAGAGTAACGCCTGTCTGTAAGGCTTATTTTTTCAAAGTATACACACGTTTTCAGTGGTTAATCTTCCACTATTATCAAACGGATATTTTCCCATGAGAGAAACTAAAGTTGAACTACATTGAAAACAATGAAGGGGGCTTAACCATCGATCAATTTCTACTCGCTTGCATGTCATCTATTTAAAGATGTGAATCAGGCAAAGTATCCACACACTGCATCAAGAGCCCCGAGCTTTTTGTCAGGCATTGTCAAATCACCATCACAAAGAAAATCAAGTGATATAAAAACACATTCATCACTCAGGTGATTGTGATCTCCTCTCAAGTTCTCTTCATTTATATGCCTGGAAGGTACTTGTTATTCACTTCGAGGAGGTCTAATTCGTTTTTTGTTGTTGTTCTCTAATATTTAATTTCATACTGAGGGTTTAAGTCAGAGTTGTATAACCCTCTTCCAGGTTTTTCCTCTCACTATGACATTTTGTATTTGTTGTGTTGGGATTTTCAGTGAATTATATTAATATGAATGAATGCTGCAAATACCTGCTGTTGAGACACAAGCGCACCCAAAGTAAATTCTGTCACAATGATGCAACACATTTACAACTAATTTAAACAAGCTGTGCTCCCGTCAGTGCTATCTAGAGGGTAAAACAGTCACAGTTATCTCCTCTCTGCTGAATACTTGAGCTGTGAGTAAGGGGAATAACCCGTTCACAGTTAGGAGAGGTGGCAGAGCCTGAGAAGAGGCCTGCTGGCTGCAGAGCCGTCCAATGGTTGGCCTGCTGCTCCCCTCAGGCTGCAGAGCTGGGGTTCAGCTGGCAGAAGCCTCCGGTAAGTCACTCATCTTCACAATTAAGACTCACAATTACAAAGCCCGGTCTCTGTGTATCTGCTGCCCTCAGGGCTTCCACGAGAGAGACCGAGAGGAGAGGAGAGCGAGCCAAGTAGATGAAAAGGAGGAAAAGCAAAGACACTTCTGAGCGCGAGTGTCAGTGTGTTTGAAGTTTGAAGAGCAGAAATGAGTGTGTGGAAGTGTGTGTGTTTGCATTAATTCAATGAAAAGAGTGCTGGATAGAAGCTGTGAGGAAAAGGTTGGCATTTTTACGAGAAACAAGAGAAAGAGAAAACAACATAGCAGTCCCAGAGGATGGGCCAAAAGCAAACAACACACAGCCCACACACACATTTAGGCTCCTTTGTTGTAGAAGTCAAACTTTTTAGAGTTTAACAAAAAAAAGAATGCATCATCTGAGGGAAATCCTTTCATAACAACTTATTAAGCATAAATCTGTGTCTTTTTAGAAAGCTCGAAATCTTTGCAGAAGTAGAAGACAAGGTATAACAGCAGATTCAACTTCAGTTGCTCACTTAAACATAAACAAAGATTACTTTTTTATCTTAGCTTATTAGTTGTCCAATTTTATTATATTTTATATCCGGCCAAAATTCTGCTTTTCCATCTTTACACAGCAGTAATGACACTGTCTCTTGACATCTGCTCTGATTTGAATAACAGTGAGAGGGGCTTCTGTATGCCCTTTCATTCAACCACCAGTGCTCCATCCATTTTTCATGACAGATAGAAAAAAAAGGGGTCCGTTGCAGCCTGACATCTCAGACGACAGACGCTGGACGGCTGTGACAGTTCTCTGGGTCTCCTGTCCGTCACCCTAACCCTTCCCCCGTCACCACAGCTCTGCAGATAATGTAACTTGTTAATTAGGCATGCAGCAGATTAATTAACCTGATACGGAGGTGTAGGTTCACTCTTCTCCGTGAGGAGGAACGTTGTCATTGCCAAGGTGAGGAGGGACAAACAAAGGCAGGGAATTCATGCGCACAGGGTGGAATTTCTTCCCTCAAGCGGCTTTATATAACCCGATCCTGTTCTCTTTATGAGATACATGAAACGAGGCTGAAAAATACCAACGTTAGTCTTACACCAATAAAGAGCTGGTAAAACTGGATTTAAGTCCTTCTGCTACTTTTCTATTGTAAAAACTCATCGACAGTGAAAAGAATGTCGAGTGGGGAAGATAAATGAAAAGCAGTAAAGTGAGACGAGGAGAAGCAAAAAGCAAGAGAGGAGAATCTGAAAGGATAAAAGTGCTGGAGTCAGTGTTTGGGACATAATCCCAGCAGCCTTAACCTCAAGTCCTGGCTTTAAAAAAACACCAATTTAACCCGCAGTAAAAAGGGAAAGAGGAGGAGAGCAAAGCGCTTGTTTTATCCGTCTGGATCCTCTCTTTAAAGCAGGACACGCAGAGGAGCGAGCACAGGTGTCGGCCCCAGAAATGGGAAACCTTAATCTCTGCCGACCCTCTCTATCATCATCCTCTGGGACCTCAGCCACTGTCAACACCGCTCAAGCGTACACACACACACACACACACACACACACACACACACACACACACACACACACACACACACACACACACACACACACACACACACACCACACACACACACACACACACACACACACACACACCACACACACACACACCACACACACACACACACACACACACACCACACACACACACACACACACACACACACACACACTACACACACACACACACACACACACACACACCACACACACACACACACACACACACACACACACACACACCACACACACACACACACACACACACACACACACACACACACACACACACACACACACACACACACACACACACACACACACTGAGATGAGAGCTTCTGCCTGATATTCATCCTCACCTTGTGTCATCAACATTAGCTTTTAGTTTTCGTGCCAGTTCTCCGCCTCATCCTGGAATAGAGGGAGGGCTCTAGTGTATCAATATACATTGTAAATAACTGAATGTCGCTACATGCCAAGCATCAAACAGAGACAGTTAGCCTGCGTACATGATGTAGCGTTTAGCAGGTACACTCTAAAACATTTCAAACAATAGAAAAATCACTAAAACAGGGAAGTATTACCTCACTTAATTTACAGAATCAGTTTTGTTTTAGGACATTTCTTTAAGACAGCTAAACGCAATAGTTATTTTAAAAGGACATGTGTTTGTGTAGCTAAACTGTGTGCATGGGCATGTTATATCTTGTGTTGACTTATTGACTAGGCGGCTACTCAAATATAGTAGTAATGCTACCAGCTCTGTGTCTCTCATGCCAAGCTGGTAGCATTTATTTTTCCTTATCAGACCAAAGACGTGAAACTCTGTCAATGAGTTAGAGGAGCTTTGACCTGCCGCATCAACTTAATTAAGTCACAGCACATGTTCTTAGTGAGACACAAACTATCAGAAAAGGCAAAGCAAACATAGGATTGCTGAGCTGGGTTGAGACAAACTGACATCAAAGGTTTCAATTAACCCTCGAACATGTCGGGGATGGATGTCTGACACAACAAGGGCTCTGTGAGATCGACACTTGTGAATGCAACTGATGTTTGATGGAACTGAATTGATATGCAATGTGTTTTCCATTTTCCTCTGGGGGTTTAAGCATCTGATCTAAAGTAACTGTCTCACACTGACAAGAAGATACAACGCTAACAATCACAATTCAATTACAACTGCCTCTGATTCAAAGAAAATCTATTACATCCGTTTTAGAAGAAGTCGCTTTAAGTCAAGTACAATGTCTTACAAAGAAGGAACCAAAAGCAGCAGAAATAAACACTGAGTATTTGTAAAAAATAACATGTGTTCAACAGACAAAAGGCTCAAAGTCAACAACACGGATGTCTCCCTTGACTCGTCTGATTCTGACGCGGCATTTTCAGTGATGTCGTCCCTATTTATAGTTAAAACCATCTCTCCGAAGAATGTTCGGTGTGGATCTCAAAGGTTTTTTCCTTTTTTTTCTCAAAAACAGGTCAGCGTAGCCCCATGTTTCAGGTCGTCGTTGAGCTCGGAGGGGGGAGTGTAACTGGGTCGAGTTGGCGGAAAGGTGGGAGAAGGAAAAGGTAAGACGAGAACAGAGAAAAGAAAGTACAAAGGGATTTGATATTGTCCCGGTGACACCTCACAGCATCTCTGCAGGCCTTAGAGCTGACTATGGTACAGGCTGACTCAGAAAGCCAGGGGTGGAGCTAAAGGGGGAGGAAGGGGCAGTGCAGTGTAGGGAGGGGGCTTTGAGTTTTGAGCTGTAAGATGTAAAGTAGTGTTTGGGGAAATTGGGCAGGAGGAAAAGGACGACAGGCAAACCGCAGTTGGCAGCAGAGGAGAGAGTAGGAAAGCGGGTTTTTGGTTCAGACGTGGGCGTGGTTGTGGCCCTGCTCCCCCCCATGGTGCCCCCCCTCTCTGTGGCCGTGCCTCTTGTGCTTCCTGCGCTCCCTCCTCCCCTTGTGGTGGTGGCGGCGGTAGCGGTGGGCTCGTCGGGCTGGTGGAGCAAAACAGAGAAAGACAGAAGGGATAAAAGAAAGGGCGGATTTAGTGAAGAAGTCAGAACGGGAGGAGCACTGATGTAAGAGGGAGATAAATCACTGACAAGCTTTCAGACAGATCAGGTGCGGGAAGTTGGAAGCAGGTACGACGAGGGGAAATGGATCAACAACAGGAAGGTCAGAACCGCTTGTTGTTTGCAGAAGGTTTAGCTGCTCACAAAACTCTGACAGAATCTGTTTTATCTCACATTCAGTAAACTGGGCGCCTTTAGCGAGAGCGCACTGAGCTAGCCATCCACACAGCCTCAGCTAAGCTCGATCCGGGTGTTCTGCCAAATTAGGTTTCTCTGTCCCTTTCTGGATTTCCCCAACAAAGACATGTCATCTGCAATGAATGATAACAGTAACTCTGGGCCATGAAAACATCTCCGTCCAGAGATAAAGAGTCCAAAGGAAAATCATTTGTTATCACTTTCAACAGAGGCTACATTATTTCAGTATTTCATCATTACTGTCACATTGTGAGTGGAGTGAAATGAAACACAAGGCTCCATTTGTTGAATATTTATATATCTCAACCCTTTATATCTCCTCTGAAAGATGTAAGATATTATGCAGAAAAGTGAAGATATGTATTCCCTTTATTCTGTCGAAATGATTGTGGGAATTTATTGTAAGGCACAAAGGAGCTAAGGTGTGTGAAAGTTGCATAATGAAGACTTTTTTTAGACACTAAGCTAAAATAAGAGGTTGCTTGCATGTCCTGCATTTCCAAGTGTTTTATTCTTTATGCACAAAATCTCATTTATGATATGTTTCTATTTTTACCACACTTCCTTTCTCAGTAGTAGACGGTCACCGGTTGCAAATAATTTGTGTAAAAGTTTGAAAAAAAAGAATCTACCTTAAGCATAAAGCACTTCAAAGAGAATGCTACCACTTCTAAGTAAGGCCAGGGGAAATTCATCCAGTCTGCAACCACATTCATCTTTTTGCTTGCAATTATTCATAATGAGGGAAGAAGAGCCTGAATTAGCAAGGTGACAGCAGCTCCTGAAGGCATTGCAAGTAGGAGGTTCGTCTACTCTACCTATGGTGGTGTTTATGCTAACAACTACAAATATAAATGCAAAAAGGAACCGACAAATGGAAATACTGCTCTAAGTGTTGCTGTGTGCCGTCCTGTCGTGTAAAAACGTACATTTTGTGCAGATGATTTTGGGCTGGTCCCACTTCCCGTTGGCGCGGCACTTGGCTGTGGGCACGTGGCGCTGCAGGAAGCCGTCGGCACACTGGTAACGCGCTACTGAGTGGATGTCATAGTGGGAGCGTTTCCGACCAATCAGGAAGGCATTATCCACACTGGGCGGGAGGCCACAAAGCACTGCAAGGGGAGAGGAAGGAAACGTCATAGAATGTTAATCAGATTGTCCACTTCTGTTTATCTCTACGGCATCTTGTGTAATAAAATGAAATCTAATTATAATGATTTTCTCTTAGATTCAGCTCAGAGATCAGATTAGAAACACTTTATTAATCCCAAAAATAAAAGTATGTTATCAATAGAGTATCTTCTGGGTTTACATTATACAAATACACAATACAAAAATATACAGAATAATTGAGAAATCACTTTAACAGACTAGCCTATTACCAAATCAACTATAAACATAGAATATTTGTATTATAAAGTGTGCAAAGTACACAACATTGAACACAAAGAGGTCATGTTGAAGCACAATATGTACACATTTTCAGGGGTTATGGAAGGGAGGAAAACAAGAGTAAACTTTTTTTAATAAAATAAATTAAAGAAACTATGGAGCTGGAGGTTTCCTCCTCGCCAGAGGTGAAGTATTGTACAGGCTTATTGCTTTTGGAAGTCAATATTTTTGATCAGTGATCAAAACAGTTAAATGCATTTTCTGCAATCAGTGTGTAATCTTCCTCCTTCTTTTAGGGCGTTCCCATCTCTTGGAAAACGCCTCACACAAACATCACAGAGGGGATTTAGTGTCTGCAGGACAGCGTGTCTGTGTAAATCTGTCAGTGAGTGGGCCGCTGTCAGAGTCACTGTCAGACACATGAAGAGCAGAATCAGAGAAATGTTTCACAAGCTGAGAGGAGAGAAGACTGACGGCCGGTCAGAGACTGACAGGGTGGACAAGCCTCGGGGATTCACTCAGACAACTTCACAGATATTGCAAGTCGGAGGGAGCCTGCGGGGGAGGCAGCAGGTGAATGTGTTTCTGTCATCTTTATCAACCGCTAACACCCCGTCATGGGGAAAAGTTGTAGGAGGCAGGTGGAGTAGACAAAACATTTAACACTGCAAGTTTCTTTTGATGTACTTTCCCCCCCAAGTGCTATAGTTTTAGAACAAATACACCGGAGTCTGCTGCCATATCTACAAGGAGCACGAGAAAAAAACGAGCGTGTTTATATTTTGGATTTGACTGATGTGTTTGTTTGATGAGCATCCCCAGGTTTATTTTCCTTCTTGTCAAAAATCTTATCTTGTACTTTACTTTTCTTTCTGAATACATTATGCCAACCTGAATCACCAAAGCCTTGCAAAAGCAACAGAGCACTTTGATATTGTTCCAAATATTATTATGAATCATGAAATGTTTTTACTCCAGCAGATATTTTGACTTATCATAGCAGGGAGCTCTAATCATTTTAACAATGGCTGGCCCTGCTCTACCTATTGCAGTGAAACACAACATTAAACAAGGTATTAGTTACACCTGTGGGGTTGCTGAACATCTGCTGTGAAAAAAGCTTTCACACATATTTCCCCCTGGAAGTATTCAATCTTTGTGTAATTAGAGAGGTTTTATTAGCCTGGGTATCACCTGGTAAAACTGGGCACCAATCAACTGTATGTGCTCCTGCAAAGCTGTTAATTCATTACACCATGGGTTAGAGTTCACATGCCTGTCATTTGTTAGTCCCTTTCTCATATTTGTTTTGGTAAAATAAACAATTAGCAGCAAAGAAATTAGCAGCAACAAGTCCAGGTTTCTACGATGGCCGACAGATGCAAAGAAATATACGCAACGTTAACGAAATCCTGCAAATACAAAACGCTTCAACAATCCCAAAACCCAACGGAAACAGGGACACTAAAAAGTGATGCACACAGCTGGGACTGTTGTGCTTTGTGTTTTGGCACATTAGTGTTTTTATATCTGCATTGTTTTTGAAACTGCAGCGTGTATCTTCTAATGGAAGTGTTTTCGGGAGCACATTTGCAGCTGTCGGCCACCGTAGGTTTCTGTTTGACATACTGTACATTTTCAACAAAATATCACAAGTGTTCACATTGATTATCACGCCTTACTATCTACTACATGTGTATCATCTCTATTTAAATAGTTGGGCCCCATGATGGCGTCCAATACACATGTAGATATAGATTACTTTATTGTCCATTAAATTAGCTAAGTTAGTACACAAAGGGCACAACGTATAGTTTACACAGAATACAGTACAATCATGGATCTTAACGTGTAAAAATGCCAGTCATAATAAAAGTCCTAAGTGGATTATTTTTCCACTGGCTTTTGGTCCATTAAAATATCACGACAGAGCATGATACTCTGTAGTATTACAAATAATAAAATATTACGTTATTGTACGTTTCCAGGTTGAGCTTCTATCAGAGATGATATCTGGCTAACAGTCAGAAGGAATAAAGGTTGTGGAAATGAGTTTGAGGTAAAAACTTCTCTAATTTGCCGACACCAGAGCATTGCTTCCACCCTTGAATGTGATTTACACACTTCAGTGCTACAAGCGGTGATAAGAGGACTTAATCAGCAATCAGAAAATGTTTACAAACCCTCTTAATTCCCTTGTCCTTTTCCTAATACCTCTTAAGTTCTTAATAGGAGAAACAATGTCATTAAATCTGATGAAAGTTGTAATGCCACATTTACAGTTTAATGCAATGTGGAAGAAAAGGGGGCGAAAAGCACTTTCCTTCTCACTTGAGACGATCACACACTCAACACAAATGAAAGGCTCAAAGGTAGTTTTCCATTAGCCCTCACCTATACACTGTTGAATGATTTCTCGTAGCGGGGGCAGGCAAAGTCAGAAGGTATTGAAGTGGGGATAAAAGAAAATGTCACTAAACTCAGGGAAAGCAAATGGAGCGGTCCGTTTCATTAGCTCCACTGCAATGGAGTTGTGACTTTTAGTGAATACATCAGTATTTGCATACATGGATGTCAGAAGCTGTCATAAGTTGAGTTTTTATACAGTTTTAAGTCAGTTAGATACATTCAACATGTATATTTTCAACTTTCTTGTTTATTTCTTGTCTTTACATTTGTATGTACAATGCCATATCTTTTTATGCTGCTGCAACACAAACATTTCCCAAATTGGGATCAATAAAGTACTATCTTATCTTATACCCATAAGATCATGGTGGTCTTTCACTCTTTAGAGAAGAGAAAAGAAGAGAGGACGCTGAAGAGGAGAGGTGACTTACTCGTGCAGAGGAAATAGGAGATGAGATTTTAGAGTTTCTTAATGTATGTATTCAAATTTAAAATCTAGAAGAAATACACTGTACGTTGCTGAATGTATCACTTACAGATGGCAAAGGTGGGTATCTTTTTATGCAGTTCATTTAAGGTGGTGTACAAGCTGAAACCCCTGCATGCAGGTTACATAAGGTGTGTGTTTTCTGTCTGCCTGTGTCTCCGTGGGTGTGTCACTGAGAGTTAGAGGCTGGTTCCTCTCAGCACTCCGCCATGGCCTCAAAGCATCCGGACACCTACTTAGGATTCTGCTACACTGAATCTGAGAGACTTGAAAGTGTGTGAGCATCTCGCTGAAACAGCTCTGGCAGCGAGGCTCACATGGAAACAGTAGATGTGGATAGATTCAGTGTTGTTTATTAAAAAAAAAAAACTGCGGGAGATGTTTGTGTGGATGTTTGCTGAAGACACACAGCCCAGACCACCTGCCAGATAAAAAAGCGGAAAATGGTGATGATATGCGATAGACCACAGCGTGTGTTTACCACAGGATATTTAACTTGTATCTGCAAACAAACGTAAGAAGTGCAACATTAAATAAAAAAACAAAAACAAAGAGAAAAGCACGATTCCTATAAACTTTATTGAAATAACAGAGCAAACTAACAGGCTCCAATGCCCCAACTTACCTCAAATTAACAAGATTTTTCAATATTTAAAAAAATGTTTTCTTCAATATCTAGGAGTGACCATTTTCTGTTAAAGCATTTATTTACATATCTTCCTATGTACTGAATTATTAGATTAGATATACTTTATTGTTCCCAAATAGGTGAATTGTTTTGTCACAGCAGCATTATGCGTTATATACGTCCTATCTGAAGAATGCACAATATAAAATATACAGAAGAAGTTACAATACTCTACAATTGTAGAACCTATCACTAAAAAAGAAAAGCAGAGGAGGATACTACAGTATATACATTATAAAAGTATACAAATTAGTTTAGTTCTCTAAATCTCCGCAGATAGTGTTTGGTCAGAGATTGCTGTGAGCCAGTGATAGCAGCTCTGTGGAGGTCGGGGGCACATCTGTGGAGGTCCCCGCACATCTCCCTGTGGAGGATGTAACGATCTGTAGCAGCGATGAAAAGGATCCCTGAGGGGAAGACTGCTCAGGTGGGTTTGTTCAAGAGGATCTTTATCTCCTCCTTCCTGTCTGAGACTGGAGAGATTCATCGTCAGCACTGATCATAAATCAACACAAGGGCTTTTATATTACATTGGAATTATACGTGTATATTAGGTTTAATAGAGGTGCAGGAATTAGTCTTACAACCTGGAAATTAGTTCGAATTTCCAACGTTTGGTTTCCTTGTCTCTAAGTCAAGTTTTTTGCTACTGCCAATTGCATTTATGCTTCAAAAAACGGTGTTTATATGTGGAGAATATACTGCTGAACAAAACATCTACAAATCATAAACGTGTGCTTGCCAAAGATCTTATTTTCTGCCCAATACAAAGTTAGAATGGAAAAACCCAATTGACTTTTTGTCTAGGGAACCCTTGCAATGCTTACTTCTCGGTTTGCCTAAAGAAATACATCATCACTGCACCACTCTATAGGAGTGTTTGTACTTTTTGAGTACACACACACATACTCTCCCTCACCTGTGGCGTCCTCACACACAGGGGAACCTGTTTCCCCCCAAATCACTTCTGAACTACAATGTCAATTGCTTTAAAGGCTGCCGCACTAGCTAAGACTGGTACAGCTCTATGCACACTCAAACACACACACACACACACACAACTGGAAGCATTCACAGTAGCTGGTTGAGTAATTCCTATATAAATAAAAATAGTTGTTCCCCTTACTTTCAAAATACATTTGAGCAATGACAGACAAGACACTGTCTATCCAACAATGATTACATTACACACCAACAGACACATCAACTGCTAAAGGCAGAGACGACAGCCTATCATCTCCCAGAGCACTGAGCGCAGAGTCTGTCATGCAAAATTTGATTTCCTGTCTCTGTATATAATGACCCATCAAAACAATGGAACTATTTTGTAATACTTACATGTCCTCTTCTGGGCAAATTCCTTCTCCTCTTCCCTCAAAGAGCTCAGAAGTCTATGTGACTCTCGTTACTTGAATCCAAATGTAAGTGTAGAACTTGGTCTGTGCCTCTTTTTTTCCTTAAATCGTTTGTTCTTCTTTATAATTCTTTATACAATGTGGATTCAGCAATGAAACACTGCTGATTTTCGTAGTAAAACACTGTATTCAAAACTACAAAATGTATCGCTCATCAATATAAAAGGTCAAAAGTCACTTCAATGCATAACGTTTTCATGTATACATTTTGTGAGGTTTCTGTAATCAGAGGACCTATAGACCTCAGGTTATGTCTTACTGAACTGGATTGTTTTTGTCCAAAAGGAGACAAAGTCAGATTACATTTTCTACATCATTATGCAGATATTTAGCCGGCTAGATAGCTCAAGATAAAGACATCGGAAGAAATCAGAAGCAGGTTTGACAAGGTTCGCTACAATGTGTGAGTAATATTTGAGGCTTGTGAGAGCGAGTTGTGTAAATACTATGTTTCATGAGTCTGGCTGTCTTTCCCTTAGATCTGACCATCGTCTCATCAGATGTCAGTCTCACCTCTTTTCACTTATATGACAAAAACATCTTCACAATCTGCATGACACATCGCACTGGGCGGCTGATTGAGGCGTCCGATAGGCTCACACGGTGCTGTTATCGCCTCATCAGGCTGATGAGCAGCAGACAAACACGTCACACAAGCTTTGAGAAGCAGAGAGAGCGCAGAGAATACTCAGCATGGAGCTCACAAACTCCACTGATAAGACAAGACATTACATGGGGTTACTTAGAGTGAAAGAAGAGGCTGATGGGAGGCGGGGGGAGATGAAAAGATGCTGGTGATTGTAACTGACTGATTAGGGTCCGAGGTGGGCCGGATGCTGGGGACTTGTGACAGTGTTCATCAGAGGTGGTGCAACACTGTGTTTGTGAGGGAAATACGCTCTTACGCTTGTATCCTCTGAAGACAAACCATCTGTTAAAGCATGAGTAATTTGCCTAAATTAACATAATGACCATCAGTAAAGCCTTTAAGGCTTTTATGTTAAGGACCATCAAATATAATAATAGAACAGGGACAATGAGGGAGGCAATTTTGTTCATTTCTACAAGTGAGTATAGATTCAACGCTGACGATAAGCCTGAATGACTATAATTTGAGTCAGGTTAAGGCCCTTCATTATAACCCATTACTACAGACTTCACCGGGAAAGATTTGATTACGCTTATTATTACCTGAGCAGGTAACACCTTGTATGGCAGCCACTGCCTGCGCAGGAATGTGTGTAAATGTGAATGACGACCTTATATGTAAATGTTCTTTGATGGGTTGCAAAGACTGAAAAAGCGCTAAATAAATGCAGCCCATTTACCATTTAGCCGACCAGAAATCTCCTCTGTCATCCATTTTTTCCAGATCATGATGGCATTATCTTGATGATGCCACATGCATTTATCAAAGTGAAACTTAGAGCGACATTTTGTGTCAAAGCTTCAGGCAAAGTTGTGTTTTTGTGTCCTGCTATTTCTCTAAACCTGCCTGCCTTACGCTTATATTACGTTTGTATTTTTGCCATCGGTCATTAGTCTGACCTATATTCAAATGTGTGGCAAAAAGGAGCTGTAATAGGCTCTCAGAGGAGCATGAGGTGACCAACAGGGGACATGAAGCCGAGGTAGCAGCGTATAGAAACGTAACCATCCAATACGTTTGTTCCCTGGTTTTGCTGAGCTAAAGTTTCCTGAGCAGAAAGTACGTTCCGCCTCAAGACGTGCTTCACCTTAGTGAAACAGAACATTTGGCAGAGGAAATGAAGCCGTGATGAGAAGAACATGGAGAACTTTTCAAAGTCGTGCTGCAGGATTATGAGAGATATAAGAAGGGGCGCTGAGCTGGAGAGCAGTAATGAGTGCATCTGAAGCATGTGGACTGATTGAAGAGGTATGGTGCTAATCTGTTGCACTGTGTATAATGGTAAGTATTTTATAGCCAGGGTGTTTAGAAGCCATCGATGGAACATGTCGTCTCAGAAATAGGCTGCAACACTTGTAATCCCCTTCAGATAAAAATGAAAAACGGCTTTAAGAACATCCTGTCATCTTTTCTCATTATCCATCTCACGACTCCCCTTATAGGATTTCAGACTAAAGAACTGACAGCACAGTGAGGTTATTTCTCCTTTGCCCTTTTTTCTCTGTCTCACTGCCTCTTCTGTCCGATTCCTCGCCGTCTCACTGTTTAAATCCGATGCCTTTTTACAGTTTTACATCCTGCTACTCTGCCTCCTCACCTCTCTGTCAGTCATCAGACATCAGCTGTTGAAGTCTCAGCGTACTTCATGCTCCTCTCTCCTCTCCTCCATCCGCCCGTTGCTCTCACCTGTTCCCTTCTTGCAGACGTAGGGCAGATTGTAATTGCATGGCACGTCGTTCCATTTGCCGTTCTCATGAGCGATCATCACCACGCAGTCTTCTCCTCCAGCAAAGAAGTTGTCTGGCTGGTTCTCACGCCAGTTCTCATATTGCTGCACAAAAAGGAGACAAACATTTAAACAACTATATGTAGTTTTAAAACTTCAACTATTTTTTTCTCAACATCAGATACTCATCTCATGTCTACTTGGCAATGGCAATAAACTCTTTGTGGAACATGATTTATGAATGACTCCTAAATTCATGGTTACTAAATGACCTTGTGATGTTTTTTTATTAATTAAACAAAAACATCCCGTTTCTGTGCATACTGAATATGTGTTGTCATAGGTAGATTAAGCTGTATTGCAAAATCTTTTTAATGAAATCTCAAGCTATAGGTAACAGTGAAAATGTTTTGTGTGACACAAAGGGAACAGAAACTCATGGATTAGTTTCCCTTCAGTTAACTGCTGTTCAGGATATTTACGGCTGTGTTACTGCAAGCAAATCCAAATGATATACTTCCACTGGGATCTTAAACACTACTGGGATCATCAGCTGACTACGAGAAAAAACAACACACAGTTCCTCACCAGATCCATCTTGTCGGTCCACTGAAAGTCTTCCTCCACTGTGCGATCATTTAACCCGATCCATGTGTTGTCATGGCTTAGACCTGAGTAGAAGATAACAGGAAATGAATACAGAGGAAATGAATACAGTACACACAATTATACACACAGTACACAAACCACAGACATAGAAATATATGACACCCATTGTTTTCATGGATACACCAACTTTTCCACCTCAGCCAGGTCTAAAAACGTTTTTTTCTGTAAACAAAACGTGTGGATAGTAAATGGAAATACACTTTTTTAAATTGGAATAGATTGGTGTCCAACCTTTGGACTGCAATGTAGTGCTCCAGGGTACAAAAAAAAGCAAGTAGGTCTGTAAAAAGGGGTTTTAATTCCCTTTAATACATTAGAAATGTATGTTATAATGTACAGTATGGTGCTTACATCATTCAAGTAGAATAGGTCATCATTATGGGGGTTGAGGTTAAAATACGGGTACAAAAAACAATAGTAAAGACGCCCTGAAATGTAGTTTCTCCAGGGGCGGTTCTAGGGGGGGGGCAGTGCCCCCTAACACTGACCTCTGACCCCCCTGTGGCCCCCCTAACAATGACATTTTTTTTTTATTTTTAAAATGTATATTTTCTGGTACTCGGTTTGCCAAAAACCGCAGGATTTTGTTGCTGTAATGTGAGATTGTGCAGACACCCTTATGTAAAGTAGAGATGTAACTGTTCATTGCCTTTATTTTTTATATAAATATGGTGTTAGTGCAAACATTGCACTATAACTTAAGCTGAAGCTAACAGTAATAACTATAAGATCTATCTGAAATAAATAAGTGTACTGAAACAAATACCAATAACTGTATTGCATTGTTTTCTTATGCGCAATTACTTCATACTGTCTAGTTCTCTTTTTCGTCCTGCATTTATTGTGCCCCCCTCAGAAAATAACTGGCCCCCCAGTGAAATTGGTCTAGAACCGCCACTGAGTTTCTCGTATGGATAAAGCTCTAAAAATTCTCAAAATCTTTCCCTGAAAGACAAATACTTCTCTGACATCTTCACGTTATCTTCTTCATGCGTCAAAAAGGTTTTATAGCACAGCAGAAAATATAATACAACAGTCTCCGAAGGTTCAGCAATATCCCCCCGACTGGTAAGCTGTTCTTTACTATACGTATAAAGCCACTTTAGTGCTCATTAATGTTACATATTGTGCTGCAGGGTTATTCTTTGTGCAACAGGCTCCAAACACACAGTCCTGGAGCTAAACATCAGCAGGGACCCTCCCTCAGCTGAGAGAAGAACAATAATGGAGATTCACAGTTCTGTCTGTGGTAAACTGGGGATGAGACTTTTTTTTGTGAAAGAAAAAAATCACTAATGGTGTTTTGAGCTAATCTCATTTGTGTGTTTGGGGGGTCTGTGTGCACGATTGCATTGGCGCGTGCACATGCTTGCACATATGTAATGGAATTTCAATCATGGTGTATCTGCTTAACATCATTAACAGGCCCATTAATCTTCCTAATGGCTCTGATCCTCTTATTGCAGGGGTGGAGACTTCCATTTTCGAGGCAGTTAAACACACTTTTTGGTAACCGTGCGTGTATGGAAGAAAGATGGGTGCTAGATAGATGACACTGTCCTGAAATCTGTTCAAGACAGAAGGTGGATTCAATATTACAGAGGACTGGTGCTTGTGATCTGGCCATTTTACAACATGTGGATGAAGAGCACTGCCAGGGGCCAAAAGCTAAGAATAATAAAATAAAGGATTAAGAACAGCATTGAAAATTGGCAAAAAATCGTAAATTGCATTTGGAAATAATTTAGGATAACATGCTTGAAATAGCAGGTCTGTTGATTTCGCTACACATGACAACCATTTAATCAATGAGTCATAAAATCCTTTTTTCTTTTTAATACAAGCGTAGAAAAAAATCTTCTTCTGGCATGTGACAATTTCACATCTTTCCCACACAAATCCACCTTAAACTAAATTAAATCAAGCTCTTTTTTTGTCAAATTACTCGGTCTTATTTAGCTCAGTTTCAAATGAGGTTACCTGCACTGTGTGGATTTTTCACCTGTTTCAAGACAAATCGCACCCTAAGAAGGAATATGAAAGTATATTACATTAAATGTTCTGTCACAGACAATGTATCAGAGCCTATAGTACCCATTTATTTGGCTGAACAAACTGGGCTCCTGAGGGTGTTCTTCACAGTCTGTCTGTGCAATAAACCTCCTCAAAGGTCGTTCAGAGTAGAACAACACTGACATTTATCACTGGATTATGGAATACACATAAGGCAAGAGCTGCCATTGCCAAGTTATGATAATAATAATGAAGAAGAGTAGATATCACTGATGTGTTGCAGGCAGACAGCTGAAGGAGAGCTGGTTAGATTTGAAAGGATGTGTAAGTGCTATTATTTAAATTGATTGGTGGCTGTAAGAGAAGCCAGATATTTTATAGAGATGTGAAGCAACACAGTCAGACCATTTCAGGATTGTCTATGAGTATATCAGTTACAGAAATGTGCTTTGACATAGTCATTACCCAACAGGACAAGCTGTAATTGCCTTGGCTATATCGTGACTTTTCATCCATCATCAACTCAAACAATTTGTATTTGTGTAATAATAAGGTTTTTAGACCAAATAGCTGCAAATAACGTTGTTTGAGTTTAGTGCTAGTTTTCACATGTTACAATTGACCATTTGAAGCATGCTAAAATGTTAAAATCAAGCTGTTAATCATAGTTAACATTATACTTGCTAAACATGAATGTGCTACCATTGTCCTTGTGAGCATGTTGTCATGCTAGCATTAGCATTGTAGGGTTTGCTCACAGATATTGCAGCCTTTCAAAGCTCCTACCATACCTTGAGACTCTTTGCATTGATCACTAAAGATTCAATTAGGTGATTTAATTGTTTTGAGAAGATTTTTATAAAAATGAAGTCTGGGAAACACTCCAACTAGACATTCCTAGGTAACTCTGAACACTTCTATGACTTTGCAAGACATAAATTGGTCTGACTTCCTGCATTCAGAAGAAAACATGTACACTTTCTGAGCCAATTTAGTTTTCGTTATTGCTTTATCCTTGACCTCCACCCACCTCTGATGAAGTTCTGCTCGGCCAGGCTGTGGACACTGGCCAGGTGTCCGCTGTGCTCCCTGCAGTCCTTCTCAGCGTCCTCCCAGGTGTGTCTCCGGCTGAAGTACCTGTAGCAGTGGCCGTGGAACTTCCTCCATGTGTGCTCGCAGCCCTCAGTGTCTGGTGGAAAGGGCAATTTGCAAAAAGAAGGGGGAGGTAATTGAAAAAGACAGCGATTAGACAACGGGAAATCCATCGTAAGAGAAATGTGGGTTTTTTCAAATCGTTAAACACCCACAGAATAACTGCTTTGCACAGGGATGAAGGATTTAGGACTAAGAGGGCAACAACCATTATTATTTTGTATTTGTTTTTGTATCACCACAGCAGATTCCTAATGTCCTGCAGCACACAAAATCTATATATTGCCTTTCCCCCTCTTTCCCTCTCCTTCTCTCTTCAGCACCATCTTGCTTTTAGTGCCCTCTGTGACACTCCTCCCAGTCTCCATCTCTCTCTTCATCTCTTTGATTTGACTATTAATCCGCAGCAGAGGCAAGCCGGCAGTGAGACAGCTTAGACCAGTGAAAGGGCGTTTTAATCTATTCAAATGACAACAATCCTTAGAAAGTGCTTCCAGTGCACAGTTCTCGCTTGGTAATTAAGCCCTGTCACAGTCCTGTCAGCACACACATTCTCCCTCCACCCATCCTCTCCTCCTCCCTTCATCTCTCTCAACTATCGCCCCTCATCTGTCAGGGGGGTTAGCTGTGTGTTATAAACTGTACATTTCAGATGTGATGTGTGTGTGTGTGGCTTTCGGTTCAGCGCTGGATTGTGTATGTGTGCATACGTCTGTGTACCTGAAAATATGGAAATGAATGGTTGATTGTAGGTGGTTCAGGCTTTATCCGTCAGCTAAGCCAGTGGTTCCCAACCTGGGGGGCGCGCCCAAAGATCGCAGGGGGGCGCCAGGCCTCAGATGATTTTAGGCCAAATATCATATATATTTTTACATATAATTGTAAAGCAATACATGATTGTCACTAAAAGCCTCGTCTCTACATTACAATAAAACATAAAAAATAATTGATTTATTCATTTGAATAGCAATTCAAGTTAGTAGCTATTAAAGGCATAAAAAGACAGAAATGTATAATTCTTTCTTTAATAGAAATGTTTCTTCTGCCCGTAAAGTGTCCAAACCAGGCTTTTCTGGATAAGCGCATTTTTAAAACATAGTCATTGTCCATGCCGGTTTCAGTTGGATTATTTGTCACAGTTGCTCCGATCAGATCGTTCTCCTCCATTTTGTAGATTATTTACGACTCTTGAATCCACATAAACACATCGGCAAAATCCAGCTTACTTTGAGCATGTGTTTAATGCCTTTGTGAATTTTTTCCACTTGCACCGTCCTTTAATGTCTTCATACAGCGGGATATCCAAATGAATTAATCCTGAGTCCAATAACCATCAACATCACTCCAGTAGTGCTCCTTAATTACGCTTTCATCCTCCTTTAACAAAATACTTCACATTCATCCAGTTTGTGACAGTAGTTGTAGCATTTTTGAGACTTTTAAACTTTAATTACCGCTGTTGTACCCCCCCTTGTGTGTGTGTGTGTGGGGGGGGGGGGGGGCGCAACTTCCAACCGGAGTCATTTGGGGGGGCTCTTGGGAAAAAAGGTTGGGAACCACTGAGCTAAGCAACCTCCGCTCTCCCCCCCTTGTGCCCCCTCCCCCTCCCTGCAGTGTGCGGATCAGGGAAAAGGCCTCAGCTTTTCCTCCACCAAATGTGAAGCGACACCAGTAAATTGTGAGGTGCAAATTGGGCCGTATGGGGCTCTGCTTAGTATGCAGAGAGATGCCGAGCGGAGAGGAGTCCATTATGAAAGCCCTTCTACAATGTGATATAAAACAAGGGCCTCGAAACCTGCATACTGCATTGAGAAGGTAAGTGCTTTTAAAACCTATACGCTCTGCTCCATTCACCATGTTGTTCAGGGCTGTCTGAGGTACAATGCTGAGAAGTGCAATGACACTCTTTCCCAACATGCAATGCATCGGCTCCCAGCAAATCTGCCTCCTCGGTTCAAGGTCTTGTTGGACTCGGCATGCAACTTAAATATTTCAACATATAATAACATATATTTATATATTCTTTCTCCCAACTCTTAATATTATCTTGCTCAGAAGATACAGTTAGTGTAAAAGTGATGAACATTGTAACTGAAAGTAATGATGATGAGCGATGTGTAAATATAAATAACCTACAGTTTATCTGACATGCAATAGCATGCTAAGATATACTTGACTCTCAGAAGTGTCATGTCTTCTTCATGTCTCATTCAGCTAACATACTGTAAAGCTGAAAGGCTCAAGGTCAGACACACATAAGTGTGTGATCATTCAAACATTCACATGTGCATGTTGGCTGCAGATAGAAAGAGAGCAATGAAGAATAGAGAGAGAAAAGTTATCTGGGAAATATATGGAGGCAAGTGTCTGTCAATCATTCCTCCACTGGTCCGTCTGAAATGTGATTATTCAGTCCTATACAGTCCGTCTGGTGGAAACAGAGTCCTATAATGTAAATAAATGTTCTATTACCACTGTTACATTGAGTAATGGGCTGAGTAACTTCAATCAAAGCATCTGAAAACCGTAAAATACCAAAAGCTTTAGTTTTAGTTTGATCACATAATAAGTTATTCAAATCAAAATGTCCCAAACTTAAAAGTGTTTTATGAAACCAAAGGTTTTGCATGGCTACTTGTTTTAAAAAATGTTTCTCTTTAAATATGTTTTTGAATTTTACAGGTTAAGCCAGGTCTCCACCAAGTATTGTGGTGGTAAGAAATATGGTAATCTTTCTTTACGAAGCGTATTTAAGAAATTCTATGCCCTACTAAAGTAAAAATGTGATTGACAAGGCAAACCCAAATCAACTAATACTCACTCAATAATTATTTGCATTTCTTTACATATAAAATGAGGTTCATCACAGACATTTTGGGATCATAAATCCATGTCAGTAAAAAAATGACACTAAAATGCATTCCTGTCATTCTAATCTGAATTTACAGAGTATTTACAAACAAGATTTAACATACACGCAGACTGAAGTAGTGAGTCATCACCTCAGGGTTTTGCTCCAGTCGTACTACTTTTAGAAAATGCACGGTGGGTTCTCTTAAAGTAACAAGAACGTAAATATTTGTTCTTCATGTTAATCAAAATCCAGCATGAAAGGTATGAGCTCTTATGTTCAACCTGCACATGAAAATGATTTAGTTTAATCATTCAATACAGACGTTTAGTGCTTGAGTTCCTCTTTGGACTTCAGATCAGTAATTGAGGAATTGTAAAATTGCTACTTCTCCTACTGTATCTATTCATTTCTTCTGAGCAGTTATGCGAGTAGCTCTGACAACGATTACTGTAACTGTGGGTAATTTATCCATTACTTGGCCAGCTCAAGTTTCTCATGGTTGTCTGGGGACTGGATCTGATGACCTCAAAACACGCTAATGACATGAAATCCAATTAGCCACTGTAACCTTTCAGCCTCCTCTGGGTGGCTCAGTGGCTTTCTGGTTAGCCCCATTTGTTATTGAAAGATGATCCTGGGATTACTTCCTGTTCAGATTGTGCTTGTGAATATGAGTACAGTGTCTGTCTATAGCGCTTGGGTCGAATCAATCCTTGGTTTCCTTCAAATATTTCCTTTGCTTTGACATGATTGAAACCCCTTTATACAAGCTAACACGAGTAAACTCTAATGGATGTTAAAACATGTGCCTTTTTGAGAGGACAGGACATTTATGACTAGGTTAACATTGGGAATTTATCACAGTTTTACAGGACACTGGCTGCTTCAGAGTCAACATTTTGAAGCCAACATGTTCCCTGTAGCACAGACGGTTTGCTTCTGAGCAGAGAGCAGTAGATTAGCATTCGGTAGAACGATGTAACTACGGTAATCTCTGATCTTATGAGACCAAAAATCAGACCCGGACAGCTGTGATTTGCTCTGCTGACTGCTAATTTACTCACTCCGTCATCTGACCTGGAAGCTACCTGTTCAATATGTTTGCCCACATGGCAGCTTGTACATTGTATTGGCATTGGGAGTGGGTCCAGTTTGGCTCATGAAGGTGGACGGTGGTTTATTATCTACAGGGACAGGAGAGTCAGGGTAGGTGTTGCTGAGACAAAACAAATTAAATATGCACACCTTCATTCGATCACACTGACTGCTGTGAATATCTGCAATGTAAGGCCAATGCTGACCACAAAAAAGACCCGACTAATAGCTTAAAACAAGAACTACAAACGACACACATGCAAGCGTGGTGTGATTTCTACTTGGGATTTACATTCATATATAATATCATTTGGTGTACAAGGAAGACAAAGTACATCTAACGCAGTGAAATGCACGGTGGGAGCACTGAAAACAGAGAGACAGAAAGCAAAGGAGTCACAGAGACCAAGAGACGCAGAGAGAAAGAAAATCAGAGGAAAAAAGTAAATAGGCATGTTTTCTCCCCCTCAGATCTTCAACCTAGTCTCAGCTGATTTCTTCTCCCACTCGCTGACAGTGAGGCTCAAAGCCCCACATCACATCAACCTCTTCAAATATTTAGACATTACTTAAGTCGTCTTCTCTTTCCTATTTTCCCTCTGTCAGGCAAAGAGAGAGGCGGGGGGTATGTTTCGGCGATTAATATTCCGACAGACTTTAGTGAGCGGCAGTTAGGAAATAAAAGTCTTATACTTCCAGATGACTGATTGGCTCGTTTATCCACATCACCGAGGGAAATTTCCACGATTCCTCTTTTTTAGATCCCTGAATGACGAGAATGTGTGTACGTGTGTGTGTGTGTCATTCTGCCTCCTCTCTGTGTGAAGGCTGACAGCTCAGTGTGCCATTTGCAAGCATGCAGATGACAGCAGTCGACAGAGAGGAGTGAGAAGTGAGAGAGAGATAAATAACCAGCAACAAAAGGTGACAATTTAAGAAGAATGTAAAAAACGGACTGTGGAATAATTAATGGTTGTAACAAGTGCAATATTGATTTATGGAACATCTTAATAGTGTGATTCTCACAACTAGGAGTTATGGATGTTACAGTAATACAGCTACAAAGCACAACATGAAGGACCAATGCC